GGGGCTGTGGGACTGTGGAGGGCCGGGGCAGGCCCATCTCCCCGGAGGGGGGCTGTGGGACTATGGAGGGCCAGGGCGGGCCCATCTCCCCGGAGGGGGGGCTGTGGACTATGGGGGGCCGGGGCAGGCCCATCTCCCTGGATGGGGGGCTGTGGGACTGTGGGACTATGGAGGGCCAGGGCGGGCCCATCTCCCCGGATGGGGGGGCTGTGGGACTGTGGGACTATGGAGGGCCAGGGCGGGCCCATCTCCCCAGGGCAGGGGCTGTGGGACTATGGGGGGCCGGGGCGGGCCCATCTCCCCAGGGCGGGGACTGTGGGACTATGGAGGGCCAGGGCGGGCCCATCTCCCCAGAGCCAGGGCTGTGGGACTGTGGAGGGCCGGGACAGGCCCATCTCCCCGGAGCCAGGGCTGTGGGGCTGTGGGACTGTGGAGGGCCGGGGCGGGCCCATCTCCCCGGAGCCAGGGCTGTGGGGCTGTGGCCTCTGACTTGTTCCTGTGTGCAGGATGACAGCCACATTTCCATGCCTGCTTACTTCCGCTTCCTCACGCTCATGGCCTTCCACGTCTTCCTCCAAGAGAAGGTGTGTGTCTTTCTTAGACCCGTATCTGAGTCCTTGAGGACCGGAATATAGTGGAGGGAGCTTCCAGCTCCCACGTGGTATCTGGGTATTTCTCCTGCCATGCTGTCTGGTCTTCTGCAGGTGGACCTGGCTGTGGTAGAAGTGGGCATTGGCGGGGCTTATGACTGCACCAACATCATCAGGTGAGGCAGCTCTGGGAGGTGGGTGGCCAGCCGGAAGCCTGTGCCTGGTGCCTCAGTATTAGGGGATCAGGACCTTCTTGTCGCTTTCAGAAAGCCAGTGGTGTGTGGAGTGTCCTCTCTTGGTATTGACCACACCAGCCTGCTAGGAGACACGGTGGAGAAGATAGCCTGGCAGAAAGGGGGCATCTTTAAGGTAACATGGCAGGAGAGGTTCATGGGAGCCCAGGGTCTATCCCCTAACTCTCAGGAGAGAATGGCTGGGCAGAACCATTAGCATTCCGACTCAGGACCAAGTCCTAGCCATCTGCACCGTCTGGCTTCCCACTGCTCTCCCCATGTGACTTGAAGCCCTCTGTGGCCTCGGTTGAAGTTAGACCCAGTCACAGGTCTGTGGGGCCACTGGCCGCAGACGGAGGGCCCGAGCAGCCCTTGTTACTTCTGGCCTGTTTGCAGCCTGGTGTCCCTGCCTTTACTGTGCTACAGCCAGAAGGTCCCCTGGCCGTGCTGAGGGATCGAGCCCAGCAGACCTCAGTGAGTGAGTGGGTGGTCTGGTGGCAGGGTGGAGGTGTGCGCTGACCTGCGGGACACTGTCTCCTGCTAGGCTTCGGGTTTCTCATGTGCAGTGTGTGTGTGTGTGTGTGTGTGTGTGTGTGTGTGTGTGCTGTGTGTATATGTATGTGTGTGTGTGTGTATATATGTATGTGTGTGTGTGTGTATGTGTGTGTGAGTGTGTGTATGTGTATGTGTGTGTATATGTGTGTGTATGTGTGTGTGTGTGTATATGTATGTGTGTTTATATGTGTGTGTGTGTGTGTGTATGTATGTGTGTTTATATGTGTGTGTGCTGTGTGTATATGTATGTGTGTGTGTGTGTGTGTGTGTGTGTGTGTGTGTGTGTGTGTATGTGTGTTTATATGTGTGTGTGTGTGTTGGAGGGGGTGCTGTTTGTGCTCCAGAACACTTGTGGTTCTGGGAGCAGGTCTCGGTAGGCCCTGGTGGTTGGGGTGCTCACAGGGTTTGTGACACACCAGCTGTTGCCCTCCTTGCCCACAGTGTCCTCTGTACCTGTGTCCACCGTTGGAAGCCCTGGAAGAGGGTGGGCTGCCGCTGACCCTGGGCCTGGAGGGAGAGCACCAGCGGTCCAATGCAGCCTTAGCCTTGCAGCTGGCCCATAGTTGGCTGGAGCAGCGGGACCACCAGGGTAGGTGAGCCAGTGTGGGCGGGCAGGTGGGCCGAGCGTGGAGCCTGCCTCGGAGGGGACTGAACACAGACTCCCGCCCCACAGACATCCGGGAGCTGAAGGTGTCCAGGCCAGGCACACGGGGGCAGCTGCCTCTGGCACCTGTCTTCCATCCCACCTCTCACATGAGACATGGTGAGTTGCAGCTTCCTGCCCAGCCAGGACCACCACGCCTCTTGTTCCCCTAAGATGTATTTAGTCCCCTGCTGCATCTTTATGACCTTTGAGATACATCTTTTGGTTTTCTGTGTGGGGGTTGGGGCAGTTCTAGATCGTTCCTCAGGGTGAACATTCCTCTCGGCCCTAGAGTTCACAAATCTTTGGAGCCTCCGTTTTCCTATCTGCCAAATGAGATCATGATAGCACCCACTGCCAAGAGCTGTTTTGACGGTTCATGATGTGACCTCACTCAGATGCTGAGCTAGAGCCTGGAAGACTCTGGTAGCTGCTGTCTGTCCTTAGGCTGTGGCCGCCTCTCCTCCCATCCCTCTATAACTGCCCTCAGCCTGCAGTAGGTGCTCACACTGTTAAACCCCTTTAGAATAGTCCAGTGTGCCCGGGTCGCTGTCAGGGACGGCCCTGGAGCAGATCTTAGGTCACACTCTAACCCAGCCCTCGCTTGTGTCTGAGCTCAGAACTCTGGTGGCTGTCACATGGAATCACGTATGACTGTATGATAGCAGCCCCTTCTCAGGGCTGCCTGGAAGATTCCATAGCAGGGCAGCCCGTTCTGGGAACCCAGGGGCTAACACCGGTAACAGGGCCAGAAGGTGGCAGGCCTTGTGGATCCCAGAGTCCTGTCTCCCTTGCCTTTGCCAGGGCTTCGGGACACGGAGTGGCCTGGTCGGACACAGGTGCTGCGGCGGGGACCTCTCACCTGGTACCTGGACGGCGCACACACCACCAGCAGTATGCAGGCCTGTGCGCGCTGGTATTGCCAGTCATTACAGCGCAGTAAACGCCCCAGTGGGTGAGCTCTTGCTGGGCTGGGGTGCAGGGGACAGGGTTCCAGGTCCTGGGTAATGACCCCATTGGGGCCGACTTCAGTAGCCATCAGTGGTTGTAACCTGCCCTTTAAAAAAGTCACACTGATAATTCTTTTCCAGTGCTTTGGCTCCATGGCACAAATTTTAAGTGTACTAAATGGTGTTTCTGTGATAAAATCTGTACCCTGGGCCTGATTGATGGCTCAGTTGTTAGGAGGCCTTGCTGCTCTTGCAGAGAACCAGGTTCAGTTCCTGGTATCCATCCACATGGTGGCTCACAACCGTCTGTAACTCCAGTCCCAGGGGACCTAATGCCAGGCGTGAGGGTGGGCCAGTTTGAGGAAAGGGCTGGGATGGGCTGGGAGGGAGGCAGGAGGCACGCCCCACCCTTTTCTTCCCGCACAGTGGGCCTGAAGTACACGTCCTGCTGTTCAACTCCACCGGTGACAGGGACTCTGCCGCTCTGCTGAAGCTGCTGCAGGTGAGGGGCCTACCTGCAGGGTGGACGGCCTGCAGCATCTGCTCTGGCCGTGTGGGCGGGCGCTGCAGGCCGGGATGTCCTCAGCTGTGAGATGGAGCCGTTCCCCGTGGTGACGTGGTTTTTATCGTGGTTTGGTTTTTCAAGACAGGGTTTCTCTGTGTAGTTCTGACTGTCCCCTGTAGACCAGGCTGGTCTCGAACTCATAGAGATTCACCTCCCTGTCTCCCAAGTGCTGGGTTTAAAGGTGTGCGCCACCATGCCTGGCTGTCTGTGGCATCTTTGCTTGGGGAAACTGAGTCTGTTCTAAGCTGTCAGGGCCAAAATGGCTCCCAGGATCATTTCCCATTTCAGAGCAGGTGGCTGAAGCGGTTCACAGACAGAAACTAGCCCAGCCAGGGGTTGGGGCCTGTTCGCTAGCTAAACTACCTTAAGTAGGTACCCCCCAAATCTCCAGAACAGTACTCGTGTGCCAGTACTTAGGACAATAGACTGTGCATGCTACAAGCCAGGAGGACACTGAAGCAAATGGGGGGGGGCCTGAAGGTGACCTCAGTGTCACTAGTTCAGAGACGGGCAGCGACTCCGAGATGTGGGCCTGGAGGGCTGTTTGGACGTCAGGTGGTGTGAGGGACATCCTTTCAGAGCCTGACACCGTGTCCCTTGGCCTCCCAGCCCTGCCGGTTTGACTACGCCGTCTTCTGCCCCAACCTGACAGAGGTGTCATCCACAGAAAACGCAGGTGAGGGGACGGGGCGTGGCTGATTCCGAGGGCCCAAGGGGGACTGCCCAGGGAGAAGATAGCATTTCTAAAAAGATTCATTTTTATTGTATGTGTATGTCGGAGTGCCTGGCTCCTGGGGAGGCCAGGAGAGGTCATTAGGTCCCCTGGGACTGGAGTTACAGATGGTTGTGAGCCACCATGTGGATGGATACCGGGAACTGAACAACTGAGCCATCAATCAGGCCCAGGGTACAGATTTTATCACAGAAACACCACTTAGCACATTTAAAATTTGTGCCATGGAGCTGCAACACGGTAAAGGGGTTATCAGGTCTAGCGGGGTTTTTTTTTTTTGGGTTTTTTTTTTTGCGTTTTTTGAGACAGGGTTTCTCTGTGTAGCTTTGCGCCTTTCCTGGATCTCGCTCTGTAGACCAGGCTGGCCTTGAACTCACAAAGATCCACCTGGCTCTGCCTCCGAGTGCTGGGATTAAAGGTGTGAGCCACCACTGCCCGGCTTAAAAGTTATTATTATTATTATTATTATTATTTTTTTTTTTTTTTTG